CCCCCCCATTTAAATTTTCAAATTTAGTCACCTGGTTAAAATGATATAGTATGCATACTTGTCTTGCTTTTGACTACAAAGTAAAAGCTCTCAATGCATTCCTACAGAATGCTATTGGATATATGCTACAAGTTTTTGTTTTTTTCCTCTTAGATACTTTTAACCAAAAAGTTACCTCTTACAGCAGAGTCCTGGTGTGGCATTTCTGTTTTGATTTTAAGTCTTTATGTATATGTGCACATGTACACCAAGTGTTTGTTTTTGATGTTAAAAATGTTTAGCAGAGATTCCATTCCAATGGGCATCCTGTGTTTAAAAAGAAATTGTACATGGGTAATACCCATGGGACGATAGTTCTGCTTCTCCCTAAATGTGGTCATCAGCGCCATGGACAGAGTGTCCCAGCTCATGAGGAGCCACTGCCAGGTTTCTCATCACTGTTTGTAGTCTACAACTCCAAATGGTTCCTGGTCCAACTCTAGGTTTTGTCAAATTCAGTATTTCAGGCAAAGGTAACAATGACTGACTATGATTATACATATTTCAAGTTATCTCTAACCTATAATGCTTCAATGATTAAAGCCATATACATTTAAAATACATAGAAAAATAATGTAATTAGAATTCATACAAAGCAGATTTTTACAAAACAAGTACACTACAAGAAATACATCCTATATATCCAAGGTCAAAAATGTGGACATATACATTGAAGTGTATGTTTAAGAAAAAACATTTATTTATTTAAATGTTTTGTTGTGAATTATGTGATAGTTTACATGGGAGAACATTAGTTTTACATTCATCCTATCGTACATCATATCATTGCCATGGTTACAATCCCCTCCTTGCATCATCAATGAACCAAAGGGTATACACTATAAGCCTGCCCCCTGGTCATCAGTACACAGCCACTCTCCCTCTCTGGGTCTAAAGTCCTCAAGTGCTCTATCTCTTTTTTTTTTATTATTATTAAATGTTTTTATTTTGGATTGAGTGAAAGTTTACAGGGCACATCATCAGCTTCACATTCAACCAATCATATAGCTTGTTTCATTACATTGATTATTATCCCCTCCATTTATCATCAGTTAACAGTGTTTCTCTCTATCTCTTTTTAAAATGCTGAGTGGGAAGGCATAGATTAGGCTTGGTTTACTGTAAGAATTTTGAAAACTTCAACTTGTTAGCAGAAAGTTCCATTCCATTTCCAAATGCCTAAAAACAGTTGCTGAAGATTAGACAGCTGTTCCTCTTTCCAAGTTCTGTTTAATCTCTGCTGTGTATTTCCCATAGAATCGTTCTGCCTTCTTGTTGAATTTAGCATTCCTCTCATTCATGTAGTCAATGTCTGCATCATCATTTTAAGGATGTCTCCGGCTATATTTGTCTCGTTTCTCAATTTGTTTTTCCAGACCTGTCACCATCCTATCAAGTTCCTCTGTGGAAGGCACATGCGTTCCATGGATAAGACTGTTGGATGTTGGGGAAAGTCTTCTCCATGTTTTTCTCTGTCTCTCATATGTTTCCATATCAGGTTTGATCTGTTTGGTCAATCGATGATACTGACGTAACTGGGCAGCAGTATAATGTGAAAATTCCAAGTCAGGATTTTTCCTCTTCTTCTTCTTCTTCCTCTCCCATCTTTCTGCATCTTCTGCACTGATCTCCAACAACTTCACTTTCTCATAGTCTTCTCCTTTGGCTGCACATTCCTTTTTCTTTTCTTCTTCTTGTAACTCCCAATCCAAATGGGATTCCTTG